ATAATCTTTTTATTAGGAGACTATTATCTTCTGACATACTGTAAAGCTAAACACCTGAAGTAAGATAGTATAGCTCCAATCTTTCTGACACTCACTCATTTTGTTTAATCAGGAAATGGCATTTTGCTTTGACTGTTTCAGCTACATGTATTATTATTGCTTTGGTTGGTGTAGCTATAAATCATTTCATAGTGGAAAAAAAAGATAATAGTAAGTGCATTCACCAAAATGAATTTATTTTGTATCAAATGGAATATTACATTTAAATCTTTAATCAGTAGTCTAAAGGCTGGTTCACAATATGATGCTAGTCCTGGTATTACGTTGATGCTGGAATAAAATCTGGTTCTATTCTAGCGTAAAGCATGTGTTAAAAGGTCAAATTACCCACATTTTTAATTTAAAAATTGATGGTATGCTGGTCTAACGTCATATTGTAAACCAGCCTTAACACACCTAGTACATGTATTTTATGAACAAAGATTTTATGCACTAAAACTAAAAGAAAGTCTTCCTCTCTTCCTTACAGGTTGTATATGCCATATATACAACCTGGTAAGCTTATATGATTCATTTGTAGCTCACAATCTCACACTTACCTTTTGATATATAGCTATACTGATGCTCCAGCTTCAACAGCTAGGACAGTATTAGTAAAACTTACTGGTATTCTATCATTATCTTATAGGCACAACTATTACATCACAAGTACCTACTACTATCTCCTCTGCTCCACCAGAGCCCACAATTACACAGACAAACCCAAATGAACTAAGTACATTAGGTACACATGACACATTATCATTTCCTTTTATTAGATGTAGGTGATGTCAAGAAAGTGTTGAAAGCTTTAAAAAAAGCAATGTTTGGTCCTGCAAATTGGAGGGACTTAGGACTATCACTGGGTCTCATTGTGACGACACTTGATACCATTGGTAAAACAAATGGTGATGCCAATGATTATCTGGAAAAAACTATTCAAAAATGGTTGAAAAAAGAGGATCAAGTTAAAGAAACAACATGGCAGATCTTAAAAGAAGCAGTTAAGAGTACTGGAGACAAAGCAGCTGCTGAAAGGATACCATTACACTAAATCAACTATTATTTGTGACAGTGTGTTGTTTTATTTTTATCTTGATTAAAGTTTTTGCTGCTAACATTTCAACAACTGTTTATTACAAGAAGAATGTATAAAAATGTGGGGAAATATTAGGTGTGGGTGAGCCTCAAGCATAGGCTACTGAGATGTTACTTAAGCTCCACAGAGGCTGGCTGGCTACACAAGACTCTGTATTTTGTCAATTTTATCATTAATTTGTATGTCACAAAACCACAAAATATGCAAATTTGTACATGTAGATCTAACCTTATGAAATGTCGCACGTGGTCATTATCACAGCACAGCGGCCCTTTTGACGTGGTCATTACTTTATTATGGTCATACATACCATTTATTGCCTTATAAATCTTTCTTTAATTTAGAGCTAATAGTGAAAAGTTTTTATAATCCTACATAAACAATTAAATAATATTTTTTATAAATTTCATAGTTTTTACAATGTAATCTGCTATTTTGCAATAATAATTATTAATATAAGGCGTGGTCATGTTTTGGGCGGAGTGGGGGTCCAACCTAGGGGTAGGGGGGATTATTCCTGAAAATTTTCATATTACCTTAGAGTGACTTTTAATTGCGGGTACTAAATTTTGCGATTTTAGCACAAGGTAGATTTTGCTGGCATTAAAAGTTGCGATTAAGTAATTATTACTAATAGTTATATGGCATCATGATGTCATTATTAATAATTGCGCATATTAATAATTGCGATTTTTAACCCAAACGCAAAATTTGCAATTAATAGTACCCGCATTTAAAAGTAACCTTAAGGTATTCTATTCAGCATATTTCTAAAAATCAAGAACTTATTCTCCAAAATGAATCAAATATTCTTAAAAAATTCTCCTTAAATAATACTAATAGCTATTACTGCAACATAACTGATGCCTCAACATGGTGAAAAAGTAATGAATCTTGCTTATAACTAAACTAGAAGTCAAAAAATCTTACTAAATGTTGTGTATTAGATTCTAAAAAGGATGCACATAATTTAGCATGAGCTCCTCTCTCATAAAATCTCAATAGCAGCATTGTAGAAGCCATTTGTGCTACCATTTATTCCCCAAATTATTCTGTATTCTTTTACAGCTTATTATTCCTGTTTTTATTCCCACCTAATCCTCTCATCCCTAGTCCAACCCGTCCATAGATTTTATAACTAGTATATATATTGTAATTTTAAGAGCACTTATATTTTTTTAAGATCTACTTTTAATTATTTTTATAGAGTTGGATGCTCATAAGGTAATAACAGTTTTAAAATAACTAGTCCAACAAGACTTGGGAGATTTACTGATGCTATATAAGACCTCAATCATAATGCATACTTTTAATTTTTAATGCATACTTTAAATTTATTGATGCATACAAACACATAAAGAATAGCTTATAATAAATGTGCATACATGGTTATATGGCAAAAACTATAAAATTAATGGAGCATGGCATACTTTGATCGATATGCGACTGATGCAGAAAGCTATGCACCTGCTGAAAAACATCAGGAAAACTAAAGCCCTAGCCTTTAGTCTGGGAACCAGACTATATGGAATAGCTAATACAGTAGTTATTCTAGTATTATAAAGATACATTGATTTAATTACTCATCATTTAAAATTATGGAGACATGCACATGATATGCAAAGTTGTAAGTTTTGATAATGATTAGATAACAGAAGGGAAGTTGTCTAATTTTATAAAACTAGGTCAAGCTACTTACACATTAGTTTGTGGCAGACAGCGCTCACTAACAGAGCTTCATTCCAAGTTTTTGCTGTTCCTAGCTTTTAGAGTTGATTAACATGGAAAAAAGTAAGTACTTGACTATGATGCTTTTCTATATGCACCATACTATACTAGCATTAGATAGATTTATAATTTTACTCCTTGTCATTATCTGGGTAACAAGCTCAAATGATAAGGAAGCTGGCAAGTGTAAAACACAAAATTAGCAATATGAACTGTGCTGATGAGCCAATTTAAGCTTCGGTGCAATTAAAGCCTATTGAGTTTTTCTGCACTTAAAAATCCAGATACAGTATTCTCATAGTTTTCATAATAAAAGATGCTTTACTATCATCATTATTAATAATAACACTAAACTTTATAATTATAGGACTGAGAATTGGTGATTTGAGAGATGTGAAAGAAAATTTAAAAAATGCAAAGTTTGACAAAACTGCTTGGAAGACTTTAGGGAATGAGCTTGGACTCCATCCAAATAGACTAACAATGATTGAAGCCAATTATAAAGGAGATGTTGAGAGTTGTTTTACTGAATGCCTTTCTGAGTGGCTGAAAAAAGTTGATGATGTTGAAAAACATGGAGGATCAACTTATAGTTCATTAATTGCAGCTCTGAAAAAAATGGAACGCACAGCAGATGTAGTTGATGACTTAGGTGAGTGTATAACCCATAAACAAAGATTTGTCCATGTATGTCTGCGTTGTATGCATGTCTGTGTCAGGGCCTAGGGGATTATGGGGGTGGAGCCGATAAATGCTTTGGATTTTTTAAGTGTCTAGTTATTGATTGATTTTTATGACAAATGTGTAAATTTCATACAATACGCACATTTTTACGTTGCCCAATAATTTTAGGAGATTTATTAGGAACAGAGGAATCAGATAAAAGTCAAGGCAAGTAAATGATGTAACTAGAAAATTTAAATGTATACTCTACATTAATGTGAATAGTAGTCTACATAGCAAGGTTGGGCTGGAAAAGGGAATTCTGGCCCAACCCTAATATTTTTATTATTCAAATTACATAAAAGCCATTCATCAAGAATTACAGGCTGTTTTCATAGCATAAAAAATGCTGAGCAGTCTAGTATTATAAAATAATTATTAGTAGTTCAATGGGACATTATGTTCAATGCGTTGTAGCTTGATGTACCTATATTAATGATATTGCTTTTGTAGCTTTACAACCAAAAGTATCTCCAGGAGCAGAACTAGGTAATAATTATTACAAGAACAATTTTCTTTATTAACAACTCTATTACATAGATATAAAAGATTTAAATCAAGTTGACACAGTGCTTAAAAAAGCACTGTTTGGTGCAGTAAACTGGAAAACACTAGGGCTTAGACTAGGACTCCTTGCAACTACACTTGATTGTATTGAGGCAGAGAAAAGTGATCAGCCTGCTTACTTGCAGAAGGTTGTACAAAAATGGCTCGAAAAGAAAGATGATGTAAAAGAAACAACATGGAACGTCCTAATAGCAGCAGTTAAAGATATTGATAATGCAGCTGCTATAAAAATACGAGGTATTCTTAAAGCGTGAACTAAGGCACGAGAATTAAAGTGAATCAAGAAACAAGATATTGACTATAGTGTTGTAGTTACTACTTTTAAGTAGACTATAATTTGTGTGATATAGTGAAATAAAGTTGAGTTACAATTTTATTACCTATTATTTTTTAAAATTAGCAAATATCAGCAAATATTCGTTGAGGAAGTACAATTATGCTATTATTAAGCTATTGTTAAGAGAGTGGCAAAATAAGCTGTTATTGAGAGAGTAGATCTATAACTATTATACCTTCATAATGATTATATGTGCTATATTTAGTTGTATACTAGCTAGATCTAGCTATACTAAGTTATCTATCTTAATTTCACAACCCTTATTACAGTAACCCGGCAATGACAATTCCCTAATATCCTATGGATAAGATTAATCTTTATATATGTACCTCAATATTTACATAGTATAAAATATATTAGATTTAAACTGGGGGTGGTTAGTATGTGTAGGAGGATGGGAAAAGCAATTTTAAGGACAATTGGGACTTTGATTGATAGACACCTAGGGGGAAATTAAGATGAAGTTTAAATTGACTCAACTTTATACATAGTCCAAGAGCACTCCTGAGCAAATTTTTAGAAAATTTGACAAGATAGACTTGTATAAAGTAGTCCAAAGTTATTTTCAAATTGCATGTACTCTCAGACAACTGAAAATCAAACAAACCTTTTACAAGTATCAGTTATCAGTATTAGACAACATGTAGCATAGGTATTATCTGTTAATGTAAATAGCCAGTATATTTATAATACTATGCTAGGCAAGGGAGTACAAATACGAGCTATTATTAGGCTGCTATTTCCTTGACTGGAATGAGTAAGGTAATATGTTCTATCTATCTGAGTGAGTAGCAAAATAAGCTAGAGTACAAATATCAGGTATTATTAAGCTGTTTATCATTCAGATGAGAGTATATGATATCTATTCTTGAGTGTGGCAAAATAAACTGCCATCAAGGATCAAGCACAAAAAAATTATCATTAAGATGTTATTTTGCCACATTACAGAGGATATGATTATGAGTATAGATTGTGTTATCAACCTAAGGGAGTAGCAAAATAAGCTGTTATCGAGGGAGTACAAAAATAAGTTGTTATTCACCTTCACAGCAATAGTACGAGTATTGTATTATCTATTCCAGGGAGTAGTAAAATAAGCTGTTTTTGAGAGAGTACAAAAATAAGTTGTTATTCACCTTCACAGCAATAGTACGAGTATTGTATTATCTATTCCAGGGAGTAGTAAAATAAGCTGTTTTTGAGGGAGTACAAAAATAAGTTGTTATTCACCTTCACAGCAATAGTACAAGTATTGTTTTATCTATTCCAGGGAGTAGTAAAATAAGCTGTTTTTGAGGGAGTACAAAAATAAGTTGTTATTCACCTTCACAGCAATAGTACAAGTATTGTTTTATCTATTCCAGGGAGTAGTAAAATAAGCTGTTTTTGAGGGAGTACAAAAATAAGTTGTTATTCACCTTCACAGCAATAGTACAAGTATTGTTTTATCTATTCCAGGGAGTAGCAAAATAAGCTGTTATCGAGGGAGTACAAAAATAAGTTGTTATTCACCTTCACAGCAATAGTACAAGTATTGTGTTATCTATTCCAGGGAGTAGTAAATTAAGCTGTTTTTGAGAGAGTACAAAAATAAGTTGTTATTCACCTTCACAGCAATAGTACAAGTATTGTTTTATCTATTCCAGGGAGTAGCAAAATAAGCTGTTATCGAGGGAGTACAAAAATAAGTTGTTATTCACCTTCACAGCAATAGTACAAGTATTGTGTTATCTATTCCAGGGAGTAGTAAATTAAGCTGTTTTTGAGAGAGTACAAAAATAAGTTGTTATTCACCTTCACAGCAATAGTACAAGTATTGTTCTATCTATTCCAGGGAGTAGTAAAATAAGCTGTTTTTGAGAGAGTACAAAAATAGTTGTTATTCACCTTCACAGCAATAGTACAAGTATTGTTCTATCTATTCCAGGGAGTAGTAAAATAAGCTGTTTTTGAGAGAGTATAAAAATAGTTGTTATTCACCTTCACAGCAATAGTACAAGTATTGTTCTATCTATTCCAGGGAGTAGTAAAATAAGCTGTTTTTGAGGGAGTACAAAAATAAGTTGTTATTCACCTTCACAGCAATAGTACAAGTATTGTTCTATCTATTCCAGGGAGTAGTAAAATAAGCTGTTTTTGAGGGAGTACCATCATCTCCACAGCAATAGCATATGAATAATAGTAGATTGTGTCATCTATCCCAGAGAAGAAGAAGCACATAGAAGTACAAATATCAGACTTTCATGCATACATGGGCTAACTACTATCATATCTATATTTGCATCATGCAAACAATTTTACTCAATATTTCTTTATCCTTTGACCTTTCTCAGTCTCTCCTCATTTTCAAATCTCTTATTCACACTAGTGGTATATACAGGACTAGATGTCAAGTCATTGTTAAGTGATTAAGATCTAATAACAAAGGCAATTTATCTCAAATCATTTGCAATTCCAAAATTCATTTTATCCCTCTGCAATCAACTAATTGAATCATCTTCCCTCCCCTCTGAAACTCACTCTTTCTCTCTTGTATCTCAAATTTAAAATAGATAACCACCTATGACCACCTCATTATTCATTATTGTTATTGCTTTATTATTACCCTAACATTAGCTATGCTATTACTTATTATTAAAAAAAATTAAATCCAGCAATGTTTGATCCTGTTCATTAGGACTATCACTGGGTCTCATTGCGACAATATTTGATTGTTAAAACAAAGGGTGATGTGAATGATTATCTAGAATGACAATCAATATTGATTGGAAAGGAGATACTGTTACAGGAAGAACATGGCAGACCCTAATAGAAGAAGTCAAAGCAGCAGCTGAGAGTATACAAGGCATTGTGAAATTATGCTATTAGAGCTATCTGTTTGTACATTCAATAAGGTAATTGTTATGTACTGTTGACACAGTTATAACTTGAGCTCCATAAAGGCCTCCATACACTAGGCAATATGTTGCTGGCAACTTTGTGGTTACTTTGATCTTGTAAGCAACATGTTGCCAGAAATANAAGGCTGTTCTATTTCTGACAACATGTTGCTTACAAGATCAAAGTAACCACAAATGTTGCTAGCAACAAGTTGCCTAGTGTATGGGGGTCTTAATATATATAAGGTTAAAGCTTGCAACAGGAAGTTGATGATAGATTGCAGTGGTATCAGATAGTAATTGTGCATGAATTGTGAGTATGAGGGAAGTCAAGGACAATTAAATTTTAATTGATCTCATTGCTAATAGACACCCGATCTTACCTACAACTAGCATACATCAGTATGCTACCGTATAGTGGGAGATTTTGGAGGGAATTAAATTTGGTGAATTTGGCATTTCAATTGCCATTTGCCATAATAAAATCTGCCATTTTGAGCCATTATACACATGCTCAATGGCACATGGCCACAAATTTACCAAATTAAAACTAGCCAATCATTAAAATTTAGCAATTTGCCAAATTTTAGTCCTGCCAAAATTTCTTGATATACAGTTTATACTGCACTACATAAGTGTACTGTACTAACATACGTGAACATTCTATGTTTTAAGGCTAGTTTATAGCATGACACTAGGCCAGTGTGTTAATTTTTAATGACAAACATGGGCAATATGACCTTTTGATGCATGCTTTATGTTAGAGTTGAACCAAATTCAACTCCAGCATTAACATAACGACAGCACTAGCATAATATTTGTAAACCTGCCTTTATTGTGAAATCTTCACATAGTGTGATGTGATGTACAAGCATAATAATCATGCCTGCTGCACAAAACATATAGCTATGGTGAAGTGTAGGCATGTGATACTTCATGTATTAATTATAGTAATTATCATGAGTAGCAGCTGTGTTATCTAGTAACTGAGTTGTTTGTGCATGGAATCACTTTGATAAAAATTTTAGTCATCCACCCTTGGGTATAGATCTGCTCTCTCACACTTTTAAGCCAATTACTGTTTTCAACCTAAGCAGAGTGTAATAAAACACTAAAATGGGCAGTTGTATTATATACATCCTCAGCGTAAACATAAGTCTGTTCAAAGCATCTCAGATCATATATGCTCATAAAAATTGTTTAAGAAAACAATTTTATAGATAAGGCACTTCTTTTTACGGGATTATTGGATTAACCATGCAACCAGCACATGATTGGACAATACATGGCCTAAGTGCTGATACATGTATTAGATATATGTATTAAGTGCTGAACCTATGTATTTGGCCCATTGGTATATCTACTGTATAAATGTTATCAATTTAAGTTTACTCTATCAGTAGTTAGCAACCTACCATACCATTGACATGATAAGCCTGGCCTGTCACTCCCTCTGGTTTAATAGTTAGATAATGCAATTTTAACATCTTCCACTCTAATAAGGTACAAACAGTTTTGTATAAATAATTTAGCCCAAGAAAGTAGGAATGCTTGGGGTTGAAGTTAAATCTACTGATGTTAAGACTCAATGTCATTGTAGAAAGTGGTGATGCATACAAACACTTACTCGAAGATTACATAATAGCAAGAGTACATAACTCTAAACCCTTATATGTAGGTATGCATGTATAGTTAATATTAGTTGAGGGTAACAATGCACTTGAATAAGTGGAATAATATATGGTAAGTTTTGCTTGATGCTGTGAGGGAGAAAGAAAGAGAAAGTGCTAAAATACTTTTTGACAAGCTTATACGCATTTATACTTCTTTGGCAGAGTTACCAGCATTAGCTAGTGATATATATAGTCACTATATTTTGTGCAGTTATATAAAGTTACTATGAACAATCACAATTGGATGGAATGACACAATGAAGGTATATCATACTAAGTTGTTAAAGATATTAATAACTATAGAATAACCAAAAGTTGTAAGTTTAGATAAAAGAAATTTTATAAGTACACCTACCAAAGACTAGAACTACATTTGAGTGTTCATTAACAGAGCTTCATTCCAACCTTCTGCTTTTCTTTTCCAAGTGATTATCATGGCAGAAAGTGAGTGCTTGACTACCAGTACTATATTAGCATTACTAGACTAGATTTTACTCCTGTAATACAATTTGTTTTGCTATGCCTAAAAACCTGTGAAAGTTTTATCATGATCCCACATTTCTATATACTGTTACTATCCACAGTGTGACAGCAAGTTCTGAGCCAAGACTTGATCAGCTATTGTGTGTTATACACACAAGTGTGTTAATTTTTTGCATTTTTGCTATGGTAAAAGTCTATTGCATACTTTTATAAACTTACAACAATCAAAATTATACTAACTTACAATTTTAGATCTGAAAGTTGCTGATTTGCAAGATGTGATAAAAAATTTAAAGAAAGCACAGTTTGACGAAACTACTTGGAAGGATTTAGGAAGAGAGC